ATTTTAAGTTACGTGAAGATTGGAAGTAAAGAGCTTTTTTATGGTCATGCTTATATATATTGTGCTTGATACAAGATACATGTATGTGGCATTGCTATAATTTTTTAAAACATTTTTTTGGACCAGATTTACTGTAAGCCTTTGCCCATGGGCTATATCATACATCTCAGTATCAATATTAGACTTCTGGAATGTTCCATAAGCAAGTGGTAATTTTAGATGCATTTAAGCTAAAGTTTCAGATCTATGTATCCTGAGTTCAGAAAGTTTATTAAAACTTCATGCTTAGAGGATCAGATAGAGATTTGGCCTTGTCACTTAGCTTAGTTGCTATTTTATAACAGAATATAAACTTTAAAAGTATATGAAGGACTTCCATTTACTATTGGTAACTTAAAATGAGTTTTTGCTTTTTCAGGTTGGAAGAGCAGGGAGGTTGGGTCACAGTGGAACTGCAATTACTTTTATCAATAACAACAGCAAGAAGCTCTTTTGGGATGTTGTGAAGAGAGTAAAACCAACGGGCACCATTCTTCCCCCCCAGTTGCTTAATTCCCCGTATCTCCACGACCAAAAGAGAAGGGAACAACAGAGACTTAAACAATTACAAAACAGTCTTGTAACAGGAGATAATATTATGGACATTATTAGAAAACATGACAAAAACAGTTCTCAGAGGTAATATAGATGTATTAATGTAATTATAATGAACGTGTGATTAAAAATAAATATGAAATTATAATGCCTTGTATATTGCCTTTTTCAAAGACATATATTCATTTTTTTTAAGGAGTCTCATTTTTATCTCATGTTCATTTTGAAATACACACTGTTGTGGGTTTGGATTACAGTAGTGCCTAGTACTACTGTACTAGGCACTAGTACAGTACTAGTGCCTAGTACTACTGTACTAGGCACTAGTACAGTACTAGATACTCAATGTAACCCTTTTTCAAAACCACTAGTCTTTGGTCTTGCTTGCAACATAAACTGAGAAGATACTCTATTTTGTTTTAATATTTCTGAATAATCATTTCAGACTTATTGTGAAACACTCTTCTGGTAATTTTTATGTAATTGTATTGAGGTAAGATATTAGTGAAGGATGCCCCCCTAAAAAAAATTAAAAATTGGTGACAGGTCTCTAAAAAAACTTTCAATCTCTTCCTGTTAATATAAATGAAATCTTCCCCTTGGACCATTTCTCTGAATCCTCAGGATGCTCTCTGGGGGTTTCCTATGAACATACAATGCAAGTTTTGTTTGTAAACAGTACTGGAAGTTTAGTTTCTCCTTTATTGCCTGTGGACCATTTAAAAGCCCTGCTCAAGCACTTTGCGATAGCAGAAAAACTCAGTTATAACTCCATTGTAGAGAAATAGGACGAACCACTTAAGTTAAAGAAGAAATTTTTGTTCTTATTTCTTGAAACATTATAGGTAGTGTATAACTGATCATGTTTATTTATTTACTATTCATTTAAGCATAACTGTTGCCATTCTCTGACACCAGATGCTGTTTCATTTTTTTCAGGAAATGAGACCAAGAGTGTATTAAGGTAGTGTTGTGTGACTTACTGGCAAAGTCTGAGATAAGTCAGAGGCTTGAGAAATTAGTTTCATCAGACCTCTCCTGCTGCTGTGATGCATCATCCCCTTTTGGCAGGCTGAGGTAGCCCAGGTAGTTATGTGATAGCCCTATGCATCATCTCTCTGCTTTTTGGCCACAGGACAGCAATATGATACACTTTGGTAGCAAACTAATTTTTAAAAGCTTCGTAAGTGATTTTTTTTTCCCAACTAGAAACAAAAAGAGTAGGTCTTATCTGCTGCAAGACAGATGAGTGGTGCCAGGATTTCTTTAGCAGATTTTGTATAGTTAGTAATGATAAACTACTATGAATTCTGATAATCTGAAATACAATATTATGATTTCTACTGGTTTTTATACGCTGATGCTATTACGTTAACATAATCTCACATGGGGAAAAACTCGTTTTACCCCCACCCCCGCCATGTGCTTTATCTTTTGTCTCCCTCTGCTGGAATGTTTTTAAAACTTTTTCATATTAACTCAGCTGTGCAGTACTTATACGCGCTAAGAGATTTCTTTATAAATCTTTTATAAAACGCATATTTCCTCCAGCAAGAGACCATTTTTTGTTTCATGTAGAGATTTCATGATAACGTTTCTCATCCTGCAACCTCGAACTTTTCCAATCCCGTATTTTTTTGTTGGTCGTGCTGGCAAGCGCTGCGTTCTGCCTGCAGCTCGCTGCCTGGGCCGGGCGCCGCTGAGGGGCTTCCTTCAGAAGGCCGCTCCGTTAATGGGCAAGCTGGTGGAGCGGGACTGCGCCTGGCATTTGAGGGATCCCCGGCCGCGCCGGGCTTCCTGCTCATCGACCACAAGTTTTGGGCAGCCAGGACTCCCTGGCGGGAAGGAAACACTTCCGAAGAGAACGTGGCGCAGCCCTGAAGGCTCGCCGGGTGCGCCTGGCGAGGGACGCTGCTCTGAGAGGGGACAAGGCCCGCTCGAGGCGGTGGCGCCGGGGACCGCCCCCTTCTGACGCAGTCTTGCAGGAGCCAATCCCCGTGGGCCCGGGGTATTCAAACGACGGAGGGAGAGGGCGCGAGCGGTGTCTGTAGCGGAGCGAGGGTGGCGTTTGAGGAGGGGCCGCTGTGAGGTGAGGGTCGGGGTTTCCTGCCCGGGCCTGGCGGGTGGGCTTCCCCGCTCGAGGCGGTGGCGCCGGGGACCGCCCCCTTCTGACGCAGTCTTGCAGGAGCCAATCCCCGTGGGCCCGGGGTATTCAAACGACGGAGGGAGAGGGCGCGAGCGGTGTCTGTAGCGGAGCGAGGGTGGCGTTTGAGGAGGGGCCGCTGTGAGGTGAGGGTCGGGGTTTCCTGCCCGGGCCTGGCGGGTGGGCTTCCCCGGGACAGCCCGTGGCTCTATCGCTAGCCGCGGCACGGATGGGCTGTTATTTCGGGAGCTGTAGAGCTGGATCGGCAGGGGCGGGGGGGGGGGCCCCGAAGGC